GAAGGGGAGACGGGCGGATAGAAGGGGAGACGGGCGGATAGAAGGGAGAGATATATGACGGACGGATAGAAAGGAGAGATATATGACGGGCGGATAGAAGGGAGAGATATATGACGGGCGGATAGAAGGGGAGACGGGTGGATAGAAGGGAGAGATATATGACGGACGGATAGGGGGGAGAGATATATGACGGACGGATAGAAGGGAGAGATATATGACGGACGGATAGGAGGGAGAGATATATGACGGACGGATAGGAGGGAGATATATGACGGACGGATAGGAGGAGAGATATATGGCGAGGAGATATACACGGACGGATAGGAGGAGAGATATATGACGGACGGATAGGAGGGAGAGATATATGACGGACGGATAGTTATAAAATACCACAGCTGCCTCCACTTCCCCGCCAAGCTTTACACTCCAGTATGGGCATCGACCAGCAAGCCAAACCTGAGGTTAACAAATGCAGCCTTGACAGTAACATAGGCACGCACACAGTCACAGCGTCGCGCGCGCACGCACGCACACACACACACAAAGGCTTAGTTTGTAATTTGTAGGTCCGGAAGAATTTTCATTTTCCAGATGGCGGCGGCGGGGACACCTTCCAGACACCAATAATTAAACTCGTGGCAGGATGGATGACTTTCTGGTCGACAAATACAAAATGTGTAATGCTGGCAAAAGGGAGAAGAGGTTGCAAAAGATTTTGAAGAGGAAGATGAGGAGGAAATAATGAAGACAGAGGAGGAAGGACAAATTAAAGCTGACGAGGCAAGTGAAGAAAAAAAAACGTAAGAGAAAAAGTTGTTCAAGAAGACCAAGACGTAAACTGAGAGAGAGGTGTAGCGTAGTGCATCACAAGAACTGTGTCCTTGGGTGTCCTGCCAGGGGTGTAGTGATAGTTCTCATTAAAAATAAACAGGCCTAAACGAATAATGGCCACCAGTAAATTACAATTAACACTCAAAGAACTATATCAAAACCAAATAATGCCTTACCCTACTATCAAAATTTGGTAACTTCAAATTCCACATTTCATTACGTTACTTACCATGAAAAAAAGTTACACATATATTTATCATGTAAGCTGATGAATGATGCCCTGTGCAACAAGCTAACACTGGTGAACTTGTTACATAATTTTCGTTGTAACTAAAGACCAATATGCTACTTTTTTTTATGAACAAATGTACAGTTTCACCCAAGTTTGTTTACAGACCGGTAAATATACAGTACTGTACAATAACACAAATCTACTAATTATCTCTCTACACAAAACAAAAACATCATAAATTTTATTCAGTTATGATGATCCACAGAAGTTTGTTGCTGTAATAATTAATGACCTGTATACAACACAAGGCAGTGAAGATAAACTTATAAAGAAAGTAACGAAAGTAACCAATTTACCGGAAATTACCTTTAAGAACTTCACCCACGACGTGGAAAACTTGAAATAAACTTTTGTAGCGGTGTTGCCTTTCCCTCCAAAGTTGTGTTCCCCCATCACCGTTTCCTCCCTGCAGGCCTCCAATACACACACACACACGTTAATTGTTCTCTTCTCCCACGCTAAAGGGAGAATTTTCGAGGTACTAATACTTTCATGATTAAATTTCTAAGTTATCTCCCAAAACAATTTCTGTGGTATAGTATATTTCATAGATGATCCCCAGGTGATAGTTATAAAGGTACTCCCTCAATTATTATTAGAGATAAATCCCTTGATAGTTTACGAGGTATCTCCTCCCACTAGGCAGCCTGTGTTGAGCTACCCTGAAGAAGGTCCACCTGTCTCGATCGACAACAAGCCATTAGCTGATGCACTTCAATTACCATCATCAATTCAGGTGCACTCCTGAGGGCGTCTTCGTTGTCAATGACCATTGATAAATATGAATCCGAATCTCAAAAGTGTTCCAAAATTTACCGATAATATCTTTGGCTTGTATTCTGTGCCATAACATAAACGACCTACTTGTCCCAAAGTACAGCAAATTCTGATAAGATGTCAAATGTTTTACTCATAAATTGCAGTACAGTATTTCCAAGAATGGCAATACTACTTCTGTCAAATTTCAAAAGATACAAATACATAAGCAAAAAATGTCTGTTCATAAACAAGATTTGTTCAGCCAAACAAATTTAGTAGGCAAGCGTTGCCATTAGAACAAATAACAATATTGCTCGTGTCAGGAAGATTCTTTCAATTATGATAACGACCCAGAGAGACAGCCAGCCCGGCCTCGACCCTCGGTGACCGGCGTTACTTTAGTTATGTTCCTCCACCTTCACGTCTCATGGTTAGTTTCGAAGACTCTCACAAGTTTTCCAGAGCTGTGCGTGATATGAGAGTGGAGTACGATGTGAGGGTGTGGTCGTTTGTTTCCTCCCTCACAGGGACAGAACATGGGGGGAGGGAGATACTAGGGGGAGGAGATACTAGGGGAGGAGAGATACTAGGGGGAGGAGAGATACTAGGGGGGAGGAG